CTTCCAGCAGGCTTTTGTAAAAGTAAAACGGCTTTGTTGGGTGACAAAGCAATACACTTTTGGTTAGTCTGAACCTTAATTCGTTTAATTCGTTTCAAGCGTCTGCCTTAGCATCCCTTAGTTATTCTAGACGTCTCTAACGCGTCAAACGTCTCCACGGCCATTGTTTACTATTATATAGTCGTAATAGCATTCACGAAAGAGAAAAACCCTGGTACAAACAAAACAGGGTCAATATGGTCTGTTTAGAACTCATTTGAATTAAACGTATTGGCTAAAAATAACTCTTACAAAAGGCGTTTAGGAAACTTGATCATAAAATGGGTAATCTTATTATATAGCTACGACTGAGCTGTTTTAAACAAAAACCTACTAAATTTCCGCTTACTTTTACGTTCTTCATAGAATCGCCTCAACCTCTTGCAAAAACTTGAGAGTGGAATGAGGAATGAGTTCACGGGACGGCTTGATGGAAACGGAACAGATTACTTGACATAAAGTAGAAATTAATGAAACCCTAATCCTAAACGCATAGTTTACAATTTATAACATTCCCCATGTCACACCACCAGCCTAGTACCTAGGCGTTCTCGGCTAGGTCAATTCTGGGCTGTTACGTCGCCGAGAGAGACCTGCCCGCTGTTTCCCGGACTCTGCGCGGAGAACGGGCAAGAGAGAACGCCTAGGGACTAGGCTGCCACGCCACGTGTCATTCCGCTGAGTTATTCCTCCTCTTACCCAATCCGTTGACAAAGCGGTTATAATCATACTTTTAAATGTTAATTACAACAAGAAAATTCTATTTTCGTGTCAGTTTAAAGTGAACGATAGAAATGTACTCTTTGTCCAAAGCTTAAAAAATAAAACTCGAAAGGAGTCCGAGTTTGTAAACGTCTTTGCTACGGTTGAACTTGAAGAAAAGTGAGCTAAATAGGTTCATCCACATGGTGATCACTAAAAGTTAATACTGTACGTGGTTTTTCGTTGGTGCTTCGAACAGTACTGCAAATCCTTTTTTGGCAACTACTAGGGAAGACATGGAAAGCAGTCTTTAGAACCTGCCTCAGCCTCAGGTGCAGCCTTTGAATCCTTATTTTTCTATTGGTGTCAGCATCTGTCGTGGTAACGCTGCGCCCTCGGAGACAATCAGCTAATAGAGTATGCCAAGAAACAGCAGATGGCTTTCAAAACTTACATCAGTGAGCTGCTAAAATAAAAATATTGCAAAATATTAGCTATCAGATCCAGACCAGGGCAGGTCCTTTCAAGATAAATGGTTATACAGTAACACTTTCCGCAAGTTATTACCTTGATGAGAGGACATACAGCGATATGAAGCCAATCTACTTTGCTCATTGTAATTCGATTAAAAATTAAGAGGAACGTTTTTCGGGTCAGTTGCCCGATTAGAAATAATTTAAGTTAAAAACTGCGAATAAGCTTTAAACATAGACGTACGTTTCCAAAACTAGCTTTTCAATGGTAAACTAAAGGAGTCCTTTGGTTAAAAGGGCATAAAATATCATAAAGAGATGACGGCTTTATATTGTAACACGGGGGCAACTTAGTGTCATGACTTTCATCCAAGTTTGACTCAGTTACAATTAGAATGCTGTCACATAACCTATAACTGCAAGTGTAATTTATCTAGCGCTATTAATTTATTTTCCTGTTTATTTTGGCTTGTGTTCAATTGGTAGCACTTTTTGGTGTTTAACGTATTGTAATTCACTATTTTCCATGTTTATCCCCCTAAATTTTGCATAACCATTGCCTTCGCTTTCTCTTAGGACGACTGTAACACCCAGGAGAAATTGGAAAGAATGTTTACGGAAAATTTGGAAGGGGTAGGGGTGGGTGTAAACAAGGTGAATTATGGTCTTTGTGAAAATAGTGAATATAAAGAAAAGAGAATAGGATATAATATATCAAGCATGAGACGCAGTGTTTCAACACCAGATGAAACACTGAGAGGAGAGTTGAAAATACGACGCGCAGCGGGATATTTTTGACGAACTTCGCGGTGTTTAATCTGGTGATGAAACATTGTGTCAACTGCTTGATATTACTTCTCAAACGAAATGATTTTAGAAGGAGAAATTAGGATGCAAAAATCAGCAGTTTTTCATCTTATTTCCAAACACTCATTAAACATTAATTTCCTTTGTATTTTCTTTATAAATTATTAATGAGTTTGAGTTACAAATTGAAAGAAAAGCTTGTCAAAATATTGTTCAAAAATTACAAGATTTATGACGTTACCTCGGCATTGTGGGTTTTCTATTCGTTCCTAGCAAATTCCAATGTGACGTCATCACCAATAAGAACGAATGGTGCCCAATACTTCACTGCATTAAACTCCTCAGATTCTCTCATACAGTTCATTGTTTGATTCAAGGATTCACTAGCACTTATCCCTTTCACAAGATGCTGATAGAAATTTTTCATGAATTCCAAAGTGGCTTCATCGTCAATCGCCCACAATGACACCAGAACAGAACGAGCACCAGCACCCAAAAATGCTCGTGCTATACCGACCACACCCTCGGCTTTGATCTCCCCACGAGCACTGTGACAGCAACTGAGTACAACTAGTCTTGTTCGCATCTGAACACCCAGTACATCTCTCATCGTCAAAATGTTCTCTTTCACACCTTCTGTTGACGCTAGGGCAATCTCGCCTGTTTCCATATCGCCATGTGCAGCGATGTGCACTAAGGCAACAGAACCGAGTCGGGTTAAAACCTTATCCTTTGTGGCCTGTGCTCCAATGTGAGGTGTGCTGCCAAGCATTCTGCCGATCATTTCTACTTCCTCCCTGGCACATGGTAGCGGTGGAAGCTCTGTCAAAGGATCACCCACAAGAAGTGCGCCTGACTTTTGATGGTAATTTACTGGACAATCTGCAACCGTTTTCAAGCTTGTGAGGGATGGAGCCACTCGAATTTTGAATGACTCGCAAAGATACTTGGAATTTGGGTCCTTAAATGCAGCAAAAGGAGCCAAGCAAAGTGGTCCTTCAGGGACAAAAATGAGTTCAGTGCCCAAAGGAAGATCTTGAATAGGCTCAATGATGGTGTCATACAATGTACTTAAGGCGCTTTTTTGTAGGTGCAAGTGTTTGGTTTGTTTGCCATCTTGGGGTGATCTTTTAAGTACCAGGTTATCCGGTAATTGAAGAGATCGATCTTCACCCTTCACAAGATCCCTTGTTCCAATTTCCTGCTGGGCAACCTGCAAGAGAACCTCCAAGAAAGTTTCAACTTCATCCTCAGGATGGATTTGTTTCTTTCGTAGTTCAAATTCCTTTCCACTCTGGCAAACCCAGAAGATTAATTCGTTTTCTCCGAAGGCCATAAAAATTGTGTTTGGAGGAAGGTAACCAAGCAGTTCATTGACTGTTTTGACTCCTGTACCTGATCCACCATACGCTTCACTGCTTTGAAAGGCATAACTTAGTTCCATAAGATCTTTTAAACCTTGTGCCCGTCCTTGCTCGGCGGAAAACAAAGCTTCTGTAACGTTGCCCTCCGTTAACATCAAACGCCAAAGGGCTGCGTATACTGTCTGGAATCGATCACGTAAGCTTATTTTCAACTCGTCTTTAAATTGAAGACGATCTCTAATATTATTGAACAAAGTAATAGCTAGTTGGTAATATTTAATTGCCGCTGCACACTGTCCCAGTAATTCAAAAGAATTACCAAGACTAGCACAAGCTTTTCCCTCGCCTAAGGTGTCACCCAGTTCTTTCGCAATTTTCAGGTGACGTTCGTGGTAATCCTTAGAGGATTTAAACTCTCCCCAAAGTAGATAGGCGTGGCCAATACATCCATTTGCTTTTCCTTCTCCTGATCTGTCACCCAGTTCTTTAGCAATTTTCAAATGACTTTGAAAGTATTCTAAGGCGGTTTTAAAATCTCCCAGAAAGTAATGGACGCTGCCAAGATTGTTATACGCGTATCCAACTTCCGATAGGTCACCCAGTTCTTTCGCAATTTTCAGACCACGCTCATAGTAGTCAAAAGCAATTTCGAGCTCTCCCAGCTTGTGAAGGATTTTTCCAAGTCTGCAATACGTTTTTCGTTCTCCTGATCTATGACCCAGTTCCTTCGCAATTTCCAGAAAACGTTCAAGCTAGTCCTTGGCAGTTTTAAAATCTCCCAGACAGTCATGGGCTGCGCCAAGTTGGCCATTTGCAATTCCCTCTGTGGATCTGTCACCCAGTTCTTTCGCACTTTTCAGCTGACGTTCATAGTAGTCTATAGCTGTATTAAAATCTCCTAGATATTCATAGGTTGTGCCAAGATTGCCATACGCTATTCCCTCTCCGGATCTGTCACCCGATTCTTTTGAAATTTTTAGGACACGTTCATAATAATTTCTTGAGCTTTTGAAACCTCCCAGACTTTGATGGGCGTTGCCAAGGTTGTTATACGCCCTTCCTTCTTCCGATTACAATACGCTCTTCCTTCTTCCAATCTTTCACTTAGTTTTTTGGCAATTTTCAGGTGACGTTCATGGTAGTCCTTGGCTTTTTTAAAATCTCCCAGTTTTTGGTGGGCTTCGCCAAGACTGTTTTACGCATTTCACTCTCCTGATAAGTCACAAAGTTCTTTAGCAATTTTCAAGTGACGTTGATGGTATTCTATGGCTGTTTTAACATTTCCCAGACTGTAATGGGCGTTGCCAAGATTGCTTTGTGCTCTTCCCTTTCCTAATCTGTTACCAAATTCTTCGGCAATTTTCAGTTCACGTTCATAGTAGTCTTTGGCTTTTTTAAAATCTCCCAGACTTTGATGGGTGTTGCCAAGATTGCTATATAACTCTCCTTCTCCTGATCTATAACCCAATTCTTTCGCAATTTCCAGCCGACGTTGATAGCAGTCTCTGCCGGTTTTGAAATCTCCCAGAGAGTAATGGGTCTTGCCAAGATTTCCGTACGCTCTTCCTTCTCTTAATCTGTCACCCAGTTCCTTGAAAATTTTAATCTGGCATTCTAGGTAGTATTTGGCTGTTTTATAATCTCCAAGCAGGAGATAGGTGATGCCAAGACTGCCATATGCTCTTCCTTCTTCCCGTCTATCACCCTGTTCTTTTGCTATTTTCAAGTGACGTTCTTGGTAGTCTATCTTTGTTTTGAAATCTTTCAGACTGCCATGATCGCGGGAAGTGCCAATGTTTTCAGTCGTGTATGTCGCCTTCTTGCAAGTTCTCTGTATAAAAGATCACGTACAATGCATAAAACCATTTGATATACAGCTGAAATTTTTTTCCCAAAAGCGCGCGCTCACATTCGTTACTTCGAGGTCATATGACTTCTAACAATAAAACTGTTTCCCGCCAAAATCTCTGAGCGCGCAACATCGCAAAATCTATGACTTCAGAGGGTAACCGTGCACTGCTACCTGCGAATGTTAACCGCCGTTACAGCGAGGTTTAATGAATTTCCAGGTTCAAAATTTCCAGCCTTATAGCAAATCACTTTAACACTGGTCCCTTGGGAAACAGTTATTGATTGTGCTTCTCTAGAGACCAGTCATTAAGAGTTAAATGTTACTTTATAGTTTCATAAATTTGAAATTTACACCTAGAAATAAAGGCGTTAATTCTTTGTAAGTGACAGAAGTGGTTAATAGGGAAGTGTGAATGGGGTTGACCTGTAGTCTTTAGTAACCAAGCGTTTTCGTGGTAAGGTGTAAAATATAAAACATTTCACCAGATAGTTGTCACCAAAATTATCGTTCAAAAATGATCATGATCCCCAACAAAAACTGTCATTTCGCCAGCTTTTTAATTGGTGTGTATAGGTAAATATGTGTCTTGTCTCGCTGAGATTAGATCCTGTATTATTTTTGTCACGGAATGATACTGGGAAGACTGAGACACTAAATGTGAGAAAATTATTATTTTTTCTTAATTTTGAGAGAATATTTTGGTAAAAAACGAAACTACAGTCGATTGATGAACTCCACCGATACGGCATAAGTCGTAAAGTCACAGTCAAACCTGTATGCAACAGCGACAGCAGTGACAACAGCGACAACAGTTACAACAGCGATAACAGCAACAAAAAAGAAACAAAAAATCTTCGCTAGTTTAACCCTTGCCTAAAAATTACGACCACCTTGACAAAAGCGACAACACCAACAACAGCGACAGCAGTGACAAAAGCGACAACAGTGACAACAGCGACAACAGCAAAAACAGTGACAACTGCGACAACAGTAACAACAGCGACAACAGTGACAACAGTAACAAGAGTGAAAACAGCGACAACGGTGACAACAGCGACAACAGTGACAACGGTGACAACAATGACAACGGTGACAACAGTGACAGCGGTGACAACTGCGACAACAGTGACAACAGTGACAACGGTGACAACAGTGACAGCAGTGACAACAGCGACAACAGAGAAACCAGCGACAACAGTGAAAACAGCGCCAACAGTGACAGCAAAGGCAACAGCGACAGCAGTGACAACAGCGACAACAGTTACAACAGCGATAACAGCAACAACAACAAAAAATCTTCGCTAGTTTAACCCTTGCCTGATAATTACGACCACCGTGACAAAAGCGACAGCAGTGACAAAAGTGACAACAGCAAAAACAGTGACAACTGCGACAACAGCGACAACAGTAACAACAGCGACAACAGCGACAACAGCGACAACAGTGACAACAGTAACAAGAGTGAAAACAGCGACAACGGTGACAACAGCGACAACAGTGACAACGGTGACAACAATGACAACGGTGAAAACATTAACAATGGTGACAACAGTGACAGCTGTGACAACTGCGACAACAGTGACAACAGTAACAACAGCGACAACAGTGACAACAGTGACAACAGCGACAGCAGTGACAACAGTAACAACAGTGACAAAAGCGACAACAGTGACAAAAGTGACAACGGTGACAAGAGTAACAATGGTGACGCCAGCAACAACAGCGACCTCAATGACAACGGCAACAACAAACCGCGACAATGGTGACAACAGTGACAACTTTACAGCAACAAGAGCGACAACGGTGACAACAGTGACAACGGTAACAGCAGTGGCAACGGTAAAAACAGTGACAATAGTGACAACAGTGCCAAGAGGACAACAGTGACGACGGTGACAACAGCGAAAACACTGACAACGGCGAGAACAGTGACAACAGAGACAACAGTGACAACAGTGACAACAGTGACAACAGCAGCAACCGTGACAACAGTGACAACAGTGACAACAGTGACAACAGTGACATACAACGGCGACAACAGCGACAATAGTGACAACGGTGGCAAATGACAATGGTGACAACGGTGACAACAGTGACAGCGGTGACACCAGCGACAACAGCGACAACGGCGACAACAGTTACAACAGTGACAACTTTGCAGTGACAACAGCGACAACAGTGACAACGGTGACAACCGCGACTACAGCGACAACAGTGACAACGGCGACAACAGTGACAACGGCAACAACAGTGACAACAGCGACAACGGTGACAACAGTGACAATGGTGACAACAGTGACAAATGTGACAACAGCGACAACAGCAACAACAGCTACAACAGTGATGACGGTGATAACAGTAAAAACAGTGACAACAGCGACAACAGCAACAACCGTGACAACGGTGACAACAGTGACAGCAGTGACAATGGCGACAACGGCGACAACAGTGACAACAAGACAAACAGCGACAACGATGACACCAGCGAAAACAGCGACAATGGTGACAAAGGTAACAACAATGACAACGGTGACACCAGCATTACAACAGCGAGAACAAGGACAACATTGACAACAGCGACAATGGTGACAAATGTAACAACTTTGCAGTGACAACAGCGACAACAGTGACAACGGTGACAACCAAAACAACAGTGCAACAGTGACAACGGTGACAACGGAGACAACAGTGACAACCGCAACAACAGTGACAATAGTGACAACAATCAATCAATCAATCAATCAATCTTTATTTAAACACGGTAAAATCCATCAGGAATTTAAAAATTAAAGATAACCTAACTATCCTAAACAAAATTCAAAACCTAACTACAACTAATCTAACTAAAACCTGTTTTTCATGAATGCCGTGTATAACATTAAAAATGAACATTAACTAATCTTTTAAATTGACTAAGAGATTCGGCTTCTCTCACATGACAGGGTAGGCTGTTCCAGAGAACTGCTCCGCTATAAGTAAAGCTGTTTTTCATGAAATTAGTTCGCGGAAATGGGACAAATAGTTTGTTAACAGAGTCCCTCAGGGAGTAACGCGTTTCATTTCGTTTAACAAACTTAGATGATAAATATTCAGGAACAAGGCCATTTAAAGACTTGTATACCATTATGGATTTCTGTATTTGAAATTGAGTGTTCAAGTCTTTCCAATCGAGTTGTCTAATCAAACGGTTAGCATCAGCATCATAGCTAGAGAAGGTTAAAACGCGAGCGGCACGGTTCTGAAGCTTCTGTAGCCTGTCAAATAATGTTTTACCACAATTACCCCAGACAAGATTGCAATAATCGAATTGAGATTGAATTAGTGAGTTGTATATATAGTGAAGGGTAGGTGGAGGGACAAAAGGTCTAATTCTTTTTATTGCTCCAATTCCGGAAGCGACCTTTTTAGATAATTTATCAATGTGTGTTTGCCACCGTAGATTTTCATCAATAAATATTCTATAGTGACAACAGTGACAATGGTGACAACAGTGACAACAGCAACAACTTCAACAACAGCTACAACAGTGACAACGGTGACAATAGTGACATCAGTGACAACAGCGACAACAGCGACAACACTGACAACACTGACAACAGTAACAACAGTGAAACAGCAACAACCATGACAACGGTGACAACAGTGACAACAGCGACAACAGCGACAACAGTGCATTAGTAAAAACAGTGACAACAGCGACAACAGTGCATTAGTAAAAACAGTGACAACAGCGACAACAGCGACAATAGTGACAACAGTGACAACAGCGACAACTTCAACAACAGCTACAACAGTGACGACGGTGACAACAGTGACATTAGTGACAACAGCGACAACAGTGACAAAAGTAAAAACAGTGACAACAGCGAAAACAGCAACAACGGTGACAACGGTGACAACAGTGACAACAGTGACAACGATGACAACAGTGACAACGATGACAACAGTGACAACAGTGACAACAGCGACAATAGTGCAACAGTGAAAACAGTGACAACAGCGACAACAGTGACAACAGCGACAACAGTAACACAGTGACACAGTGACAACAGCGACAACAGCAACAACAGCGACAACAGTGAAAACAATGACAACAGTGACAACAGTGACAACAGTGACACCAGCGACAACAGCGACAATAATGACAATGGCAACAACAGTGACAATAGCGACAATGGTGACACCAGTGACAATGGTGACAACATTGACAACAGCGACAATGGTGACAACAGTGACAACTTTGCAGTGACAACAGCGACAGCAGTGACAATGGTGACATCCGCGACAACAGTGACAACAGTGAACAACAGTGACAACGGCGACAACAGTGACAACGGCAACAACAGTGACAACAGTGACAACGGTGACAACACTGACAACAGCAACAACAGCTACAACAGTGATGACGGTGACAACAGTAAAAACACTGACAACAGCGACAACAGCAACAACCGTGACAACGGTGACAACAGTGACAGCAGTGACAATGGAGACAACAGCGACAACAGTGACAACAAGACAAACAGCGACAACGATGACACCAGTGAAAACAGCGACAATGGTGACAAAGGTAACAACAATGACAACGGTGACACCAGCAACAACAGCGACAACGGCGACAACACTGACAACGATGACAACAGTGAAAATAGTAACAACAGTGACAACAGCGACAACAAGAACAACAGCAAGGACAGTGACGATGGTTAAAAATGTGACAACTTTGCAGTGACAACAGCGACAACAGTGACAACAGTGACAACGAAGACAACAGTGACAACCGCAACAACAGTGACATTTGTGACAACGGGGACAAGAGTGACAATGGTGACAACAGTGACAACAGTGACAACGGCGACAACTTCAATAACAGCTACAACAGTGACGACGGTGACAACAGTGACATCAGTGACAACAGCGACAACAGCAACAGCAGCGACAACAGTGACAACAGTGACAACAGCGACAACAGCAACAACCGTGACCACGGTGACAACAGTGACAACAGTGAAAACGGTGACAACAGCGAAAACAGTAACAACAGCCACAACAGTGCAACAGTGAAAACAGTGACAACAGCGACAACAGTGACAACAGCGATAACATTGACAACGTTGGCAACACAAGTACGAAACTTGCAGCGCTGTACAGCGCCACAAAATCGCTTAAAAATAGCTGTACAGCTAAATTACAGCTGTTCAGCAGCCTTTTAGAAGCCAAACAGCAGCTTCATTCAAGTTACAGCGGGATGCAAAAGCGCTCTGCAGCCTTTGAAGGCTCTTTGAAGCTCTCGGCAGCGGTTTTGCAGCGCAGTTGCCGACTTTCAAACGCTGCGAAGTAGCTGCAGTAACGCTACAATTCAGCTGCGGTCGGTCTGACTTTCTTGAGCGCCAATAACATGAATCGCCAGATAAAGCCTTGGCACAGATTACGGCTTTTATAACGCGAAAACTTTGACTGTACCTTTAAGAAATGTGAGTAAGCTTGTGCGCAAAGAAGATCACTTATTGAATAAACCTCCAAATCCTATGCTTTCGGAATAAAGACTTCAATAAATTTCATTCCGTGATCGGCGAGTGTGGGAATGTTATCGCTAATTCCCTGGAGACATTCTAGGCCGTAATCTAATTGGTCGGTCCTTTTGCTTGAGATCCCATTACATCTCTAGACAAACACGGGATCGCCCAAACATTTGCGACCGTTGAATGAAAGGCGCAAACATTCTAAGTTTTTTTGCATCTAGTTCTGTTTCGAGATGGAAGTTCTGTTGAAGTTTTTGGATGGAACAGCTCAAACGTATTTGCAAACAACGCACTGAACAGTGACTTCTACGCTAAGTATCGACGAATCGAACCAGAGCAAGCAACACAGATACAAGAATCTCAGATGGGGTTCGCACTTACAAGATTATTATACACTCGTGGTAATGTTCGTTCCTTAGTCCATTGTAAAATTTAACGACGACCAAAGTAAAATTGGGTTGATTTCTTTCATGAAAAAAGTGCAGAAGATCGTGGATCATGGATAAAACGTCAAGGTGAGCAATGTCCAGCTTAGCCCGTTGCAACGAATCAAAATATCATTTGCCTGCTGGCCGTGTAAACGTTATGTAGAACAATCGCTGTTATTCTCTTTATTTTTAAAAAAGATAATTTTCAATGTCTGCATGTTAATGGATGTTCTTGCATTCAGATGAGTGACCGTGATTGCTAAATATTTACAAAGCGAGACTGTTGCAGATTTGTTCTATGTCACGTGTTTTTGTAACGTGTACGCGTGGATACTAATAAAGTATAGGTTGCATTTTGACTTTCTAGTGGTTTTTACTCAGCTACTAAGACCTTGTCAACTCCTCTACCATGTATGGTGATTATTGTATTATTGGAGCCTACATTTCTTTTTTTGTACTAACGAGTGGTAGGCCATTACCGGTAACAACATTCTTTGTCTTTTCGAAGCCACTTTGCAGCCACTTTACAGCGCAGATCGTGATTCGGGAATTTTCTGCACCGCTGCAAAAGCGCTGTTTATCGCTGTCAAAGGGCTTTCCACTGCAGCACGAAACAACCAAAATTTGCTACTGCTGCAGCCAGCCCTGACTCCAAGACTCCAACTCTCAGACCAACTCTGGCCCTGTTACGACAGCGACTATACCGTACATCAGAGGCACCTCTGAAACTATTGCACGTATATTACAACCTTACAATATACGTGTTGCGCACAAACCGATAACCACTTTACGGCGACTGCTTACTAATGTCAAGGACAAAGACAAACCGGAGGACAGATAGGGAGCAATATACAAGATCAAATGCTGCGACTGCCAGGCTTCTTACATTGGTGAAACCGGCAGAAACCTAAGCACGCGACTGACCGAGTACAAACGCGCGACGAGGAATGGTGACGTCAACAATCACATTGCCGAGCACCATTTAAAGACGAAACATCACGTTGACTGGGACTCTGCGAAATGTATAACGTATTCTACAGACTACTATCAACGTCTTACTTTAGAAAGCTGGTTTACTAACTTAGAACAAACGCCACTGAATCGTAGCCAACAGTTACCAGCGCCGTACAAACGACTTATTGACGAGATCAAGCAAAACTAACTACGAGAGAACAACTGGAGAACTGACAATTTGACTAAAAATAGACGACTGTTTAACTGTGACAATAGACGGATCGAAACGCACCAATCACTGATTATCAATCACTTAATTGAATATATCACGGACATTGTAGATCAGTTTCTCGAGTGTCATCCGAGTGGACTAGTGCTATGTGGAGGAGACCTCAACCGGCTTGACTTGGAAAAGCTTTCGAATTTATCTGGTTTAAAAGCGCTGGTTGACTTTCCAACTCGAGGCAATTCTGTTTTGGACAATTGCTTGACTAACAATGAAGCTCTCTTTTCTAGGTGTTATCCTATTGTCTCCCAAATGAAAACAGACCATGAAGGTGTAATTTTACCAGCAGGTGTGAAACTAAAGCCCTTGAGAATTAGTTGCACAATGCGTGATTACCGAGAGCATCGCAAGATCATGTTTCACCGTAAGCTCCTCGAACAAGACTGGAATCACGTTAATGATAACTTTGACCTCGATACCGCGGTGAACTCGCTTCACTCTACTTTAGAGAAATTAATGAACGAATGTTTTCCAAGAAAATCGATTCGAATGTCTTCTAGAGACCCTCCGTGGATGAGTCCCTTAGTGAAATCGCTCCTGAAGAAGAAAAAAACAAGATCTCGAAAAGGCGGCGGGAGAGACCTAACTGAACTGACGGAGAAGATAGGACGACTAATAGCTGAAAATCGCCGAGCTTTGGCGTCTGGGAAACTTGGATCGCGAGCCTGGTGGAGGAAAGTTGATCGACTGTCTATGCGTAAAGACAAGTGCAGCTCCGATCCAGATGAAGATTTCATCATTGGTTTAAATGATTATTTCGGCGACATTTGCTTTGATAGGGAATATTCTAAACCAGTTCCTGCCGAGATTGATGTTAACACCCCTGCTCCACAACTATCTACATTTCAAGTGTTTCTTGCCTTATCGCGAATAAAGCGTACTGCCACCGGACCTGATGGGATTCCTTTCTGGATATGGAAAGATTTTGCTGAGATATTTACCCCAGTGATTGAGAATTTATGGAACTTATCTCTTGCTCGGCAGATCTGGCCAAGTCGTTGGAAGGAGGCTAACATCAATCCACTCCCAAAAGTCGAGACACCAGTCGAATATGCGGACTTTAGAGGAATCAATGTTACTCCAGTTATTGCCAGAACGTTTGAAAGAACAGTGTATAACATTTTTAACAAGAGGTGCCTGGAGGAATATCTGAATAATTCTCAATTTGCGTACCGTTCAGGTGGAAGTTGTGTTAACGCTCTGTTGAAAATGCAACATACATTTCTTGCGGCATTGGATAAACGGGACACCTTAGCGGTGAGAATGTTCACGATGGATTTCTCTAAAGCCTTTGATAACGTTAAACACAATCTTCTAGTTGAAAAGCTGAAACATAGTCCACTTGATTCATTCATTGTTAACTGGTATGCCAACTTTCTCGAAGGTAGAAAACAAAGGGTGATTTTTAATAATTTGACATGCCAGTGGAAAATTGTTAACAAGGGAACAACACAGGGAAGTGTCAGTGGCCCATATCTTTTCAACATATTTTTGAATGACCTAGAGATAGATGGGTACAAAGATATATCCTTGTTTAAATATGCAGACGATTCAACCGTCTTAGTCACGATTACTAAAGATTCCCCGGATATATCTGACATTGCCTTGTCCAAGTTTATGGATTGGACTGTTGCAAATGACATGCATTGTAACACTAGTAAATGTAAGGAGCTAATTATGCGTAAGAGAGGCAATTCAACAGTCTACCCAATGTCTCACAATATCAAACAATATAATAACATTTCTTTATTAGGCGTCACAATTCAAGGTAATTGTAAGTTTGGCTTGCATGTCAAGGCCAAGCTCCATGAAGCCAACAAGTGTTTATTTGTCATCAGAAGCCTACGTAAAGAAGGATATACACAAGATGAAATAGACCACCTCTTTAATTCAATTGTGATCCTAAGTTATTATACGGTCTTTCAGTTTATGCTGCAAGTGTTTCCGAACTTACTGTTATACAAAGGTTTTTAAAAAGATGCTATAAGAGCCGTTATACGTCGGTCAATTACAACATATATGAACTTTTGGAGAAAAGCGACAGACGCCTTTTTTATAACCTCAAACGCGATGACCATCCATTAATAAGCTTGCTCCCTAGGTACAAAGACTGTATTGCAAACCTTCGAAGGAAATCCATTGTCAGGCTCAGCATTAACACTGAACGTTTCAAAGATAGCTTTTTTAATAGATTAATTTTTAAATATAATCTAGCTGTGTAAATACCCCATATGTATTTTTAATCAATTTAATCTTTTTTATTCGTCTTAATCATTGTAACTTTTTTTCTATCAATATATATTTTTACTGTAACATCAGATATGTAATTTTATCGGATGCTTTTAATAAAGACGTTATTATTATTATTATTATTATTATTATTATTATTATTATTATTATTATTATTATTATTATTATTATTACGATAGCCTGCGAAAACATCCGTTTCTCCTCGCTCTTCGCCGCTGGGGACGTTTGGCAAACAATAGCTAAAACAATGTAACTACTCCGTCGACCAATCAGCGCTTCTGACCGGATTCCGGACAGATTTTGCGTCATCAGTATGGAATTTCTGTCGCTGAGTCGCAGACGTTCCTCCGAACGATACGCCCCCAGCGGCGAAGAGCGAGGAGAAACGGATGTTTTCGCAGGCTATGATTACGAGTCTTCATAGCCAATAACATCACGGCTTAACTGACAGACGACCAATAACATCGCGACATAATTGACCAATCAGATCAATAACCAGAGTATAATACCATCAACTGACGTGATACAACTCACCTTGACTCTGAAGATGACTACCGCACAGGTTGTCGAATCGTCAGTCACTGTCAACAACAACAGTCCTATTCAGGACTACGTTCACCCGGA